CTGTGTCTCATTTCAGCATTTTCCATACGACGTCATGTATACGGCTCTCTAGCAGTGCTAGCAGTGAATCTCTGTGCTTAGACCATGATAAGAAGCCATAAATCTTAACCTCGAGCCCACACATACAAAAATCTCATTCATGACTTCTCTGAACCCAATATCTGCTTCATGATGTCATGGGTGGCTAACCTTATACTGCGATGTTTCAAAATCGTTACAAACACAATGGTTTGACTGCAATGAATGAACGAATTACCGATCTGGCAACACCATATTCCGAGAAGTAACTTCTGTGTTTATCTAACACATTAGGCAGCGAGGAATTTCAGACGTAAACAGTCGTGCATAGCGACATGTCCCATACGATAAATAAGCTACAACAAGAGATACGATTGAATGTGAAGTCGCCACAAGGACTTACACTGCTAAAACGCATGGTGCAGAAAATGTATTACACTGCTAGAACGCATGGTGCAGAAAATGTATGAATTTCGGGAAATTTTATTTTGGGAATCAGTGTAAAAATTTTTTACAGATATTAAAATCTGTAAATTAGAATATCTGATTCTATAGTCTTTCTACATTAAAGGAGCGTTCATTTCGTTCGTTTATCATAAAAAATGTAGAAATCACACCATTTTTAGAAACATGCTTACAATTTCATTGCTCTAGAAGGACGGGCATTTAAATAAACTCCGTCCAGCTGCCCCTACCGGAAATTAAATGGCCCGTCCGATAAAGGTTAATATTTAATATGACGCATTGCACCGATAAGGATCCGTATGGGTATTTCAATAACTATACGTGTTCCCGCCTGAGGATGGTCACGTATGACCGACACATTTTGCAGTAATAAAGATCTAGTGCAATAACTGAAATATCTGTTGTGTTGACAGTAGCATAGTTCCTACATATTATATATTGTCTGTGACACACAACAGGATGCAACCTATGAACAAAAAAAATAAAATAAAAGTAACAATAGTACAACATTTGGTTTCTTAGAAAAATAAGCTACATCACACTAGTATCATCACCAGACGAAAAAGTGTCAAACTTATAAATAATATATATAATGACTGCCAACTATATTACTGTCAACATTAGAACAATTACATGTCTACTACTAACCAAGTCTGTTACAATAATATCCACTGATGAATCTCGTAGAACAAGATTGGTGGCATCCCAATGAAGGACATCCACGTAACTTTGGGTACCGCACTCTAGATGATCCAAATTGCACTGTGTTCGGTTGACAGCCTTTTCATGTATATCACCACAGATAAAATATGAATTTTTAAAGGCTAATGAACCCTGAAATAAGATGGCATATCTCATACAATATCAATTCCGCAAATGACTGTCCTCAGTATTAACTGCCGACGACATGACTATGGGGAGCGCTCACCATTACTCATATTTGCAAACACACAAACCAACTATGGCATCAATACTGCTGTAAACTATAGTACTTACAAAATTATCTTGCATTTCATAACATGAGAATTTACTGGATGTCACGATCAAGTGGTTGTAATTTTTGAGTCATATACAGGAGGTTCCAAGTTCAAATACTGGCCCTGAAACTGACTCTCCTAACTGAGGTTTCTATGGCGTTCCTTAGTCCCCCCAGACAATTGCTAGGATAGCAACACAAATCAAGGCACAGTTGCTTCTTTCCACATCAGTTTCAATCCATAATTCTCTCTCACGACCCTATATTCAATGCACTGAAAGCACCATAAAATAAACAAAGAATAATACATCAATAGTAGATAACTCTTTTACTGTTAACATACATGTTTGACAAGTCTCTGCAGATCAGGTTATATTCAGCAAATTGCCAGTAACTGGAAATTCCTGTAATTTTAATCTGAGCATGGAAATAGCTGTACATATACAAAGAAATCCACATTACAGCATTTATATACCTGACTGAACAATTAAGTCTATAACGTAAACCTTCACAGCAAAACTGTTGTCCATAAAAATGAAAAAGATCATGTTTGGAATGATGCGAACATGATATCACAAACAACCCATATTTATGGAAGTGCCACTTAAAAATCATGGCACAAAAAGGTTATGAAAGACATCTTTCCTATGGTTCTTGAATATTAATACAGAGAGTTACTGAGAACTTGAAATTAAACTGCATAGCCACTCTTTGTGGGAGGATTATGCCAAATTTGACTTTGTACAAGGCTTCCTTGAGCAAATCATGAGACCGTAATTATACACCTGTTCAAGAAATCCCCACATGGTTAGTCACCCCCCACCACCAATAGACACTATTTCAAGATTTTATCCAGTGCATATCCTGAAAGTTAATTTCCTATCGTCCATTTCAATATTAAATCCTCCCATCAACATCTTAGTCGGCAATGTACAAAATAATTGAAACAGTAAGAAACTGGGGTATAGAATTTGAGTTGGATATACTGAAAGAACTTCAGTTTGCAACACTGGATGTTATTCTTCCATTTGTTTACACTCTGTAGTGCTTGCATAAGTGCATTAGCGAATGTGTTGAGTGACAGTCCACGTGAAAGAACAGGAAAATGGGAGACTTGTCCGATTTTGAAAAAGAACAGATTGTTGATGCACGTTTAGCTGGACAATCTGTGATAAAAACTGCCACATTAGTAGGTGTATTGAGAGTGAAAGTTTCTAAAGTTATGTCGGCATACACGAATCATGGGAAGACAATGTCAATGAAAAAAAAAAACACTGGGCGAAAATCAATCCTGACAGGAAAAGATATTGCACACTGAGGAGGATTGTATTGAAAAATCATACAACTACTGCAGAACACAATAATCATCATGAAGACCCCGTTTCCACAAAAACTGTCCGACGTGAGCTTCACAATTCCAACATCCAAGGTAGGGTGGCAATTGCTAGACCTCTGATTACTGAAAGTAATGCTCTCATGCATAAATAATGGTGTCATGACCAGAAAACCTGGACATCAGACAACTGGAAACATGTGCACATTATGGTCAGATGAGTTACACTTCACACTGTTCCCTACTACACAAAGAGTTCCCACCTGCAGAACAGACAAGGAAGCCTACAATCCAGTATGCCTGGTTCTAACAGTGAAACACAGAGGAGGTTCTATGATGGTTTCGGCAGCAATCTCGTGCTAATGTGTTAGTCCCGTTATTTCCCTTCATGACCGAACTATTGCAGGGGAGTACATAGACAGGTTAGGTAATCAGGTGCATCTTATGATTCAGATGTTCAAATAACAATGCAGTTTTCCAAGATGACAATGTCCTCATTCACACAACTGGAACTGTTCAGTCATGGTTTGAAGAGCATGAAGGTGAACTTCAGCATCTTCCCTGGCCAGCACAGTCACCAGATTTGAACATCACTTAATCATTCTGGTCAGTTTTGGAGACTAGAGTGAAAAACAGATTCATGCCTCCAACATCTGAAAAGCAAGTTGAAGATATTTGAGAATGGTATAAAATTCCGCTAGAAACTGTTCGAAACTTGTACGAGTCCATTCCAAGAGGGGCTGTGTTTGTATTAAGGCCAGATGTGGTCCTACACCATATTAATAAATAAATGTGTACAATATCTGTAGTTTCCATTATTTTACACAACCCCTGCACATTTTTAACTCAACACAAATATAAGTACTCTACATAAATATTATCAATTTCTGTACTGACATGAATGTTAAAATAGGATATAACAGTATCAGAAACATCAATCATACCTCAATGGGAATGGATCCACCACCACACAAAGGGTCAATGATGATATCACCTACTTTTGGTCGTCCAAGTCGCAACATATTGTAACAGATGGTTGCTCGTAGAGTTGTAGGACCAAAGAAATTAATATTTCGATGATGCTTTGATTCTTTTGTCAATGTCATCCCATAATACATTGAATCTGGCAAAAGGAAATTATTGTAAACACTATTAACTTTCAACATACAGTGTGTTTCAAAGAGAGCTTTACAACTTTGAAAGCTTATATAAATTTATACAGAGGACATACACAACATCTTGAACTGTCATAATGTAGCAAAACACACTGAGTTTCATGCGAGCGCTCCTGCAGTTGAAATCAAGATGGCTACTTTCACAGGTGCCGAGCGTGCTCGTGCGTTTTGGTTCGAAGAAACGAAGTCTGCTACACAAGTTCAAAGGAAATTTCGCACTCAGTATCGCAAGGAACCTCCCAGTAGGCCTACAATTTACTCCTGGCACAAGAATTTTGTTCAGACCGGATGGTCTGTGCACCATGCCAAGACACCCAGTCGGCCACGTGTTTCTGATGCTACAGTGGAACAGATTAGGGAGAGCTTCGTTCGAAGTCCACGAAAGTCAATGTGACGTGCGTCTCGGGAAACTGGTATTCCAAATGTTACTGTGTGGCGAGTGTTACGAAAACGTTTACACTTAAAAGCGTACGAACTATCCATCGTTCAATACCTTACGGATGCAGATAAGTTGGTTCATATGGAATTCTGTATGTAAATGTTTCATCGGATACAAGACGATGAGAAGTTTCTGGACTCCAGTGATGAGAGCATGATTCATGTCAGTGGTAAGGTCAATACCCACAACTGCAGGATCTAGGGCAGCGAAAATCAACGTGTCTCCCTGGAACTGTTTGTGATAGCCCAAAGGTGAACGTGTTTTGTGCCCTCAGCAAAGAAAGAGTGTACTGCCCCTTTTTCTTCATGGGGATGACCATTACCGGTATCGCATATCTGGACATGCTCCAAGAGTTCCTCATTCCACAGTTAGACAAAGATCACCAAGAAGGACACATTCACTTCCAGCAAGACGGCGCACCCCCCATTACCTTGGAGAAGTGTGCAAGTACCTCAACACCTGTTTCCCAGGTCAGTGGATTGGTAGAGCGGCGCCGACTGCATGGCCACCTCATTCCCTGGATCTTACTCCCCTGGATTTTTTCTTATGGGGATTTGTTAAAGATCGATTGTTTGTACCACCTTTGCCTGCAAATGTTGAGCTCCGAACTCGAATTACTGCCTCAGTTGTAGAAGTGACACCAGAGATGCTACGTAGCGTGTGGCAAGAGACTGACTACAGGTGGGACGTCTGCCACATTACCAATGGAAGTCACATTGAACCATAACTATCCAAGATAAAACTTGGTGTGTTTTGCTACATTATGACAGTTCAAAACGTTGTGTATGCCCTCTGTATAAATTTATATAAGCTTTCAAAGTTGTAAAGCTCTTTCTGAAACACCCTGTATATTATTCCCAATAAAAAAACAAATGTTGCATATCTGAAAGGTGTAGAAAAATTACAAAGACAAAACAACTCCGTCCAGTGTGACTACTGAAGTTTTTACTAGTTGAAAACTTAGCACTCTTACATGTTTTGGTCCCTATAGACCATCATCAGGGGGACACTGATACTTTTTTGGAAACTACTATCACAATGGGTGTTTTGTGTGTTAAAATACATATACATACAATGATTGTAATGCACAATATACCAAAAAAGCTGTTGTAGTTGTGAAAAAGTTGGACAGTCTTATGCATAGTGTAGGAATTTGAATTTTCCTCATAACTGATATGTACAAATTTACTGAACATAAATAAATGCAAATTTATATGAAAACAAGCTCCTACTATTTATGTACCTGCTTTCAATGACATCGTCTCATTTAGATTTTTGGAAGGGAAAAATGAGATTTAATTTGAAGGTCAATATTTATGTTTCTTGCACATACATGATGTTCATATATTATTTACTCTATCTTTTCTACTACTGAGCAACACAGACATATCAAATCAAATTGATCATTCTCAGTAAACTGTCAGGAAATGCTTTCTTATGTAGCTACAACTTTCCTTGCAATATATGACATACTGACATTCCATTTCATAAGATGCTGAATCATTCAAAATATAATGGCCATATGGTATTGTCCCCATGATGACTAGATTTCAACCTAACTTAATCCCAGTTCTGTGGCCATTTACATAATGTTGTTCACAGGAGTGGCTAGAAGACTTACTGGATTACTTGAAAAATGGAGTTAAGGATAGGTGTGTTTAAGTACATGTTGTCAGACTAGTTCCAACAGTGCTCATCACATTGGTGGTTAGTTCAAGAACTTACTCTTATTCCTACATTGATTGTAAGAGCATTCTTCATGTAAAATATGGATTTTCATGCGTCTCTTTGTTCTTACAAGGCTTGTAGAATTATACAGCTGTAAGTAGTATTGTAACGAAACACGTTACAATACTATAGGGTTCTGATGATGGTGTATAACACACAGAGATACTGGGTTTCAGACTTTGTCCATCGTCCGGATTTTAAATCTCTAAGAAAAAACACAATGTTTCAGAAACTGGATCTGTTTCCGTCCTCAGGTGAGGGAAGACACCTACTCTGTTGTGTCCCTTAGAAAGAGCTAGCCTCAATCACTGGTGTCTTCCCTCACCTGAGGATGGAAACAGATCCAGTTTCTTAAACGTTGTGTTTTTTCTTAGTTATTTAGAATTCGGACGATGGACGAAGTCCAAAAACCCAGTATCTCTGTGATACAGCTGTAGTTCTGGAACAAAGCATTTCTGGGCACAAATTAAGACTTTCATCTGATTTGGCACCAGTATGTCACTGTGAAAAAGGTACATCATTCAGACACATTATGTATAAACAAAAAGAAACTACGTGGTTTTAGTCTGAAAGTGAACTATACCGACCAAGCGACTGCAGCTTGTCGGTGAAGTCAGTGCCATTTTCTGTGGACAGAGGGTGTCGCATGGTCAGCACAATGAACCCCTATGGCTGTTAATTTCGGTTTTCTAGACTGGAGCTGCTGTTTACTTGAAATAACTCAATTATCCTCACGAGGCTGAGTGGACCCCATTCCAGAACCACTGCTTCTCAGAGAGTCTGGTAGCAAACGGGAATTGAACCCAGACTCTGGATCTGTGGCCAGGAACACTGAGTACTAGACCACAGAGGTGATCGTTTTGTATAGGTATCATTTTATAATTTAATCTTATGGTACTATGAGCGGGGGAGGAAAAAAAAGAATTAAAGCTATCTCTGTAACAGGCAGTGAAGACATTGAGGATCCCACATTATCTAGACAACTGACTCACAGATGGTGGTAAGGTTGTCAGCCTTATGCACCGGCCACGCTTTACTCCCCAGGAAAATTATTATTGAATTAATTCCTAGTACTCATTTCTGTTAGAGGCTGAGTCGACTCCAGGGCCATAGTGCGGCTCGAAGGATTAAGTCAATTGAAAAAATCCAATGACCTCATCGGGACTTGAATCTGTCTTGTAGCATAGCCCCTCAACCAACTATTCAAGGGTATTTTGGCTTACGTCTGAAAGATCCTCAGACTGAATATTTTTGGTAAGATATTCTGAAGTTTTCAATTTATTTTCTAAAATGTCATGCAAGCAAGCAAGTACAACCACATCCATCTCAATTTATAATCAGTACATCGTTCGTAAACTCAGTAAGTTTCACTGTGTAACCTTATGTAAAAAAAGGATAGAAAAATATATATTTCATCATTTTGGTAAGAATAATGTATCAAGGGAAGAAGTTCCAAAAATAAAATAAAAAGTAGGCATTAAAAAGTGCTACTATAAATTATGTGAGAAAAAATTATATTTGTAAAGTATATACACTTACACATAATATTTTACCTTCTCTTATGTTCAGCATTATTTCAAGGTCATAAAAATTAAGGTCAACAATCCAGTGAAACATGTCCTGAAGTCTTCCCCCTACATGGTAGGCTGCATCTTGAGAGCCAAAGCAATGTGTCCCATTGCGAATGCAAGTGACGCGGAATTTTAGGACTTTGTCTTCTGGTTTTCTTGAATCAATTTCATGGTATGCTTCAAATTCAGCAGCATTATAACATGTTCTTTCATCCTTATTATCACCCGGTGATGAATGTGATTCCTTTCCATAATTTTCATCACAAATTCCATCTGGCTGACACTTTTTGTTTCTAATTCGAGCTTCAGCTAATATTTTGGCTAGTTTTTTAATTTGAACTTCATCACCTTTAGCTGCCTTATAGTCATTTTCAGTTGGGTATATGATCCCTTGGAATTTGTTCATCTCACACCAAAAAGCAAGAGCTTTCCTTATATCAGCATGTTCTACTTCTCTTTTCAAGATATTCATATCATTATCCTGAAATACAGAATACTCCTTTCAAACATATACTCTTATACAACTTTTTTATTAAAACTGTCACAACACAACTATATCAATGTCAGTGCCTAGTTTTGGCTCTGCACTGACATTGATATAGTTGTGTTGTGATGGTTTTAATAAAAAAGTTGTATATTATAACACAACAGGATGCATGAAATGAAAAATATACTCTTATTTTTCAGCTCTTTTAACCATCTTTCCCCTGTAATATACTGTCATGTGATATAGTGACTATAGAGGGCTTTTGGACTGATGACTTCATTCATTGCACATTCTAATGCAGCACATGACTATACTTCACAGCTCTCTCCACACATGTACATGTGCGTGCACACACGCTAGTGTCCACAATCATGTCTTCACTGCTGTTGTGTGGTAGTGGCTTCCAATGGCGAGCATTCCCCTTCCTCTGGGTTCCTGAACTGTCCCCAGCCTCAGTTACCAGCTTCTGAGAGCAACTGCTCATAATGACTAAACCCCAGCACTCTGTAAATCTAACTGCAACTCTGAGTCAAGAGTTATTTTATGACTGGCTGTTTGCCACCAATCAGTTCGTCTTGCCTCCAGATCCCTTGAGGCTCAAGAACGGTGATTTATTTTTGGAACTGAACCCTTGCAGTCATGAATAGGCTTTGCCTTTTACAAATGTACATATCACACAAATAGCATGTCACTGAAAATTCTTCCTTGTGCACTATATACAAGTCCTCTTTCAGCATAGGTTTTGCAAAACAGATGTCTATCTTATCTTAGGCTACAACGACAGCTTAGTCACTTGAACGGCTGTAAGTTGGCCGCTGCCACGTTTAACTGCAACTCATCATCATCATCATCATCATCACTGGCACGACAGCCCTTTGAGAGCCCTGGCCTTCCTCAGGATTGCTCGTCATTCTTCTCTATTCGATGCTACATTCCTCCAGTTCTTTATACCCAAAATTCTTATGTTCTGCCACACACATTCTTCCCATCTTAACCTTGTTCTTCCGACTCTCCTATTTCCTTCTGGTTTGGTGTTAAGGGTACCAAAGGGTACCAAAAATGTTACACAAGTGAAAGGGTTGAAACGCAAATAACGCAGAAAAGCTTTTGTAAGCAATTACCAACTGCGCGTTTATTACAATAAATATATTTCTCTACTCGTGTGAAGGAGGAATGAACCGCTGAAACTGTTGTGTGTGCATAAATTTTACTTACATCAATNTAACAGTCTTTCATCCGATCTTGACAGTGGCCAGGTCTCAGAGGCATAAGATAGCACTGATCTTATAAGTAATTTATACATCATTCCTGGGTATTAATTGGGATTTCAGGTGTTTCCTAAGGCCATGGAGACATTTATTTGCAAGTACACGCTTTCTTATTTCATCACTGATATCATTTTTACAGTTAACTTCTGATCCAAGGTAAGTGAAACTACATACAACCTGAAATTTATATGAGCCAATTTCAATATATGTAGGTCCATTAGCACAGTCTTTCTTGGTTACTGGCATGTACTTTTTTTATTTTGGTTAATTTGTAGATTCATCTTTTTTGCTGCTCTTTCCAAATTAAGAAAAGCTTCTTTCATAGATTTTTGTGTTCTACCAATTATATCAATATCATCTGCAAATGCCAAAATTTGAACTGACTTGT